CGTAAATTTTTAAGAAAAATATAATTAGAAAGTTTCTTTACCTTTTATGTCATTTGTACGCTCATATGACTTATTCAGCGAGTTTTGTATCAGTTGGAAAAATCAGGCAATGATTTTTGTGTATCTACATTTTTGCACCAGACTATACTTTATTATTATTGAATTATGATCTTATAATGAAATTACATATTTATTACATAAAATCCTTTAATTATTAAAAATCCTAGATTTCATTCTAGCTAACCACGTCATGAACATACTGTTACCTTCCTTTAGATTCATTTATAATTATAGTTTAATACTTGATGCATTATATAGATTTGATTATATTATACTCTCTCACCCATCATTCTTAATAAACTTTACTATAATTACCCTGATTAAGTAACTTATTATAATATTATTAAGAACTCATCAGCTCTTTCAAGGACTCATATAAAATAATAACAATATGTTATATAATCAAAAATAAAAATTATTTTATTTTAAACTTTAGCTTTCAAATTATTATAATATATTATTACAATTATATTATAAAAATTATTAATTTCATAATTTGTAATATTTTATGAAATTATAAAAATCATGTAAAAAATTTAAAATATTTTCTAATTATATTATATATATATTATTAATTATTATATTTATTTATTTTTTATTTTTTTATTTTTATTTTCTATCTTATATTATTTTATTTTATACTTTTACTTATTATTTTATTTTAATATTATTTATTTATCTACTATCTATTTTTTTATACTTTCCTATTTTTCTATTTATTTATTCTAAATAAATATATCTTAGCCAATTAAATATTTCTAAAATATATATTTATTTATTTATTTTTCTCTTTTATTTTTCTATTTTTCATATTTAGTAAATTGAAATTCTATTTCTAGTTAGCATATTTATCTTTTATATTATTTTTTGTTTTTAATATTAAATTAATATTTACAAAAAATTTATAAATATAAACTATAGTTAAGTCTTAGCTTAACATATAGAAACTTAAGAATAAATAATATAATAAAACAAATACTCAAATAATTTATTTTTCTTTTAACTATATATTTAAAACTTGCAAATAAGTAACTTTAAATTATATTAAACTAATTAAAATATTGTTATTAAATTATTAAATTAATATTTTGTTATAAATTAATATTCATATTTTATAAAATGAATAAACTTCTTTATTAAGAAGTAAATACAAAATTTAATCTATAAATATACTCAAAAAAAATCTATTTTATTATATTTACAAATTAAATTTTTTGTATTTACTTCTTAGTAAAGAAATTTATTCATTGTATAAAATATAAATATTTGATAACTTTAGATTTTATATATTATATTTATCTAGTTCTAAAATATATTTATACTAGTATAGAAAATTAATTAATTAATTAGAATATTATTTAATTAGTATAATTAATCAAAATATTATATATTATATATATTTTTATATTCTCATATTTGATAATTCTAATATTAATATAATATCTTATTAATATAGTTATTCAATTAATTATTAATTAATAATTAATAATTAGAGCAATTATCATAAAAAAAAGATATAATTAATTCTATTATATATATAATATACATAATTAAAATTCTACTATCTTACTCTTTTATATTTTATTTTATTTTTTTGAATTATAACAATTTAATAGAAGTTTGATATAGAACTTAAATAAATTTTTCTTATTATTTTTATATTTGTTTAATTCTTTCTTTTAATTTCTATTTATATTTATTAACTAATTTTATAATTAATAAAAAATATGTAATATCTCTATTTATATTTATTAACTAATTTTACAATTAATAAAAAACATATAATAATATTTTTTAAATAATAAAATATAAGCAAAAAATAAAATATTTTGAAAATGAATTTTTAATGATTTTTATATTTTTATATTATTACTAATCTTATAAAATAAATACATAAATAAAAATATAATAAAATAGACTTAGATATAATAATATTTTAATTATATATATTAATTTTATTATTAGTTAATAATATTCTTTTTTTATTTTTTTATTCTATTTTCTTTTTTTTCTTATTATTTTTTATTTTTATTTTATTATTATCTTAAATTAAATATATTAATTATACAATTTTCTTGGTATATTTATCATTTTTTATATTAATTTAACTTTTATTATGTATATATTTTCTATTTTTGTTATTAATACTTTAGTATAGAACAAAATTATTAATAATGATATAATTACTTTTCATATAATTAGAAGAAAACTAATAATTTCATAATATAGTCAAATTCTTCTATAGTTATCACTATTGAAAAAGCAAAATTTGATAACTATAGAGAAAATGTAATTATAGAGAGATTTTTTTATTATATTTATATGTAAATAAAAAAGCAAAATAAAATAACTATAAATAAATGTGATTATAAGAAAGATTTAATTATAATAATATAAATCTATTGTGTTATGTTCTACATCATAGCTATGATATATTATGTCATATTATGAATTATTATGTCATATTATGCAGATATAATGTGAAAATATATATATATACAAGTGCTGATAATTAATAAAATTCAAGTTTTTTTGATTTAGTTTTAAGTTCATTTTAGTTTGATTATGTTAATTTTGAAGTTAAAAGTAGTTTTTGGTTAAATTTTCTTTTAATTAAATCTTGTTTTTAGTTTAGTTTTATTATTTTTTATTACTTCATTATAAACATTATTCAATCACAAATTCAAAATAAATTGCTGTGAACACAATTGCTATTACCATTTTGAAACACTTTCATATACAAAGTTCAATATCAAAAAGTTTATTATTTATATTAACTTTTAAAGTTATCTGATATTGTAACAAATATTATTAACTTTTTGGATTTATATAAGTATAAAACATTAAAAGTCAAGATTTGAACTTAAAATAATATGTTTAATAAGTAAATATCTACAAGAGACTAATTTAATAATAAAAATAAGAAAGTAAAAATTTAACTATAAGAAAAAAATATTAGTTGCTATCATACTTCAAGAAACTTCTCAATGATTTGCTTTTTCACGTCAATACACTTTGAAATATCTGCTAGTGCTGGTTTGTTCTCTTTGAAGATATTATTTTGTGAATTTCAAACTTCAAAGTACAAGTTTTATTCTCGAAGTCTACTTTTGTTACAGTATAGACATGTAAATATTCAAAAGATTAAAATCCTAGTCATGACGAAAAAAATTCTCGAAACACGTGATTTCGATCCATCCGATCTTCTAATTAGAATTTTGGTTAAGGGTTTTAAAGTCAGAGTTAGAGTTATGTGGATCAAGATGTAATAGTGAAATTTACAAGGAACATTTTTTTGTTATAACACAAAAGGCAGTTTCATAGATAAGATTTTGAGATACACTTGTTTTGAAATTTTTGGGTTACACGTTGATCTTGTGATTTGATTGGTCAATCAATTTTAAGGGTCATATCGGCATACATCGGATGAATCGGATGAATCGGAATCACATATTCGAGAATTTTTTTTTCGTCATGGCTAGGGTATCTCAAAAAGATCAAGTGACGCGTGCGAGTGAGATTTTCATGTCTACTAATCGGGTACATCAAGGTGTCGTTATAACGAGAGCCTCTTTGTAGTAAATATCTTTATTTTATTAAATAAAACAGGCATGCACTTCTTGATGATAAAGGTAAATACCGTAAAGCGCTCTGTATAGTATCCCCTTTGTAGAAAATTTAAACCTCAATTTAATCTCAAGGCTATTAAACCAGTAACTAAATTTTTTAAAAATCGCATAAATTTAATTATTTTGCGGAAAAAATAATTGGATTTACTAAATTGTGGTTCAAATTTTTACAAGGGGATACTATACAGCGCGTTTTACGGTAGCGATAATATGTAATTCGAACTATGGGTAAATTCACTTCGAGACAAAATTGAATGTTGTACAGGTTGATCTTTGCCTTTGGGGCGAACAGTCGCGTACTTTGTTTTGTCCCTACACGCGATATCGCGATATTTTTGACTATGTAACTTTATTCTGCAAAATACCAAAAAATATTATTCAATAATAGTTCTTTACTTTCCGACTATAAAGTAAAAGATCTCAGACTGGTAGAATATTTTTTTGACTCCAAAAGAGTTTCACGCAATTCACTAAACAGTTTATTGAAAGCCTCATTCCGAATCGATTTTAAGACTTTATCGTTTTCTTTTTACACATTGGAAAAGATATTTCCCTTAATCAGTAATGGGCAAAGGCGAGAATATATACTGATAAGCAGTTTTATGCTTCTTTAATTACAATGCAAAACAGCAACCTTTGGAAAAAGGTGTGGTTTACACACTTTGTTTTCTTTAAGAGAAATTTTCTTGAGTATATTTAAGATAAAGTCTTCGGAGCTAAAAGCATTGTCGAGGGCAAGTATGCGGCTAGATATCTTGAGTAGCATTGAGATAAGGTATATCTAACTTAATATCCTCCGAGCATCATTCACCTATTCACATATTAAGCTATAAGCTAGACTTTTCATGCTCCAAAGTTATAGGCATCTGTACAAATTTATTCTTCATTAGGAACAAAAGGATTCAAATGAGATCCAGGACACAAAATCAATCAGCGTTGATTTTGGATGAAACGATTCGTCATAAAGTTTGATGACGAGTTAGAAGACGGCATAATAAATTTTCTTGTTAAACGACTCTATGATACACTCATCTGAAACGATTATTAAACGTGCTCTTGGGAAGTACACAAAGTAACATCAGAGATTACAATTGTTAATTGAATATATGTTAACGAATAAATTCTATACAATAGCCTCTAAAATAAATCGAAGAGTGTCATCCCTTTTTAAATCTACTCCTTTTGCTAGTAAATCTCAATCTGTTTGAATGAGTCTCAAACCCCTGTAAGACAAGTTTTTGTGTACGTGATCGTCATAAATTCGAGTTCTTTATAAATATACAATATTTAAGATCAAGGTACGGCGCGAAAATGGTGACCAGGAATACACTTAAACGTTCATTACTCAAAGACAAGGCAAAAACCACTCCCCAATTCCGAGAAGCGTTTACTGGTACTTTTTATAACCCTTTATAACCCTTTTTTTTTTACTAACACTTCGTACAAACTCATTGACAAGATTACTTTGAAAGGTCCAACATGTTTGTACAAATTCCTTTCGGAGCGCCCAGTAAGTTTCTCGGTCTTGAATACTTTTTATAGCTTGCACTCTTTTGTTTTAGTTTATTTAACAATTTGTTGTTATCACCATAAAATAGCAAAGATTCCTCACGAGAAATCTTACCTACATGGTACAAGCTCGCAAAAAAAGGCCAATTAGTGGTAAGATTGAAATGCATCAGCATATTTCGTTAAATGATCTTTATAATAGACGAGTAAAAGAAGAGCAGCAATCATTGAATAGGTAACTGCTCAATAGTATTACAAATTATCTTTGGTTAGTGTGTTCATATTAGCATTGTTAATTCCTCTTTGATACCTATTGTTCATAGTCGAGTTTGGCGCTCTCTTCGAGTAACCATTGATCGTTTAGCTTTGCCAGGTAAGAAATAACAGAATTCCATTTGTACCTTGTAAAATCATACATAATTCTAATTCTTTCAAACCAGAAAGATATAAACAGGAGCCTGAGTTTGTGTGGCAAGTTTTTTTGTGTCGAATACTAGAGGTAATGTACGCGGTTAATTCGCAATTTTTACTCTATATCACCTTGCTCATTGTTATTTCTTTAGAACCAGCCCTCTAATAATAATAAAGAATCGACCTCGAAAAAGAGAAAACTTGATAATGGCGAAGTAGATTCTTCGAATTATCATCTTGTTCACATTACAAGTCTATCTGTTTCTCCGGATACGGAGCTGTTTACAGAAAAAAAATCATTCGAAATTTCCGAGACAAATTTTGAAATCGATGAATCACTCAAGGATTTAGTCTTATATATGTCTTTAAATTCAAAGGGCTGCGAAAACCCCGCATCCTCCGGAAATCAAAATCAAGCATTAATTCAGAACGAGGATATTCTTCCTAATCCTTCAAATAGCTCAGAAAATACCCGTATATTGTGGATTCCAATAAACCTGCTAGTAAATGGACAGTTCATCAAAGACGGAAACTATGAACGTGATGCACAGGTGGCATACGGGAAGGATGAGGTCATAAGGTCTTTGTGTAGAATTAAATTATCGTTGAACTGGGATTACAAAGTACAATTGCCTATGAAATCAAGCAAACTTTTAGCTTCCACGACAACTAAATCTTATCGAAGCTGCGTGAAATCTGAAGAAGAAGTCCTTCCAGTTACATTCATATTTCGTGTCGTGGATTGTGACATGAAACAAATGGTCCGAGGATTTATATGCCCGTGGTGCAACAATGATTATCTTGATAGTCGTACTTTATTTTATCACCTCGCAAATAATCACGTTCATCTCAAATTCGGGACAAAGGTGAATCTTTTCGGGTTATCTTAGTTTATTTAATATAATATTTTATTAATCAATTGGTTGATTTCATCAATTTTAGAATGGAAAAAATATACCCAGTGAACGAATTATTGTCACAGTTGTAAATGAAGAACATTCCGATCTAGAATACTTTAGTCTTGTTAAGTCAGAAGGAGTTTTACGACCTAAATCATTCGCCTTCCCGAGAATTCAAAATTCAAAGTCTATTCAATTACCACTGACGAATTTTTATCATTCGCAGTCTTTTATGCCTTTCACGGCTGATGATTCTGATGGTGACTCAGATGAGGAGATGTGTACCCATTGGATACAACAAACTAGTGACGAGGTAAGCAAACTGATTTAAATCACAATCAATTATCATTGAAATTGCTTACCCAAAAAATATGCTTTTAGAACTTGGATGAATTACCAGAGCTAAATAACTCTGAGAAACTACTCATGAAGATGTGGAATAGGCACATTGAACCATACAGGTATCCATTTTCTTTTGTAAATCATCTGGTTATTTATCTTTAAGAAATTGATTGTTATAAGAGATTAATCATATGCCATTTTGTCATATTTTGATCTTTAATTATTTTAGAGGACTTGGTGATTGCCATTTATCTGAAGTTTGCCTCCTATTTGCAAAAAATCGTGCCACCGAAATTGCTTCGTTCAATTTGAGAAATAATTTTGTTCTTCATTTGATGACTTTGGCTCAATATCAAATGATTGACGTAACTTGTACCACAAGATGTTTAGGTTATGTGGATAGAGCAATAGATTCCTTGGGCGGAAAATAGTTGACTGACTACTTTTATTTGAACAATTTATTATATTATAGAAATTCTATTTAGAGCAATAGATTTTTTGGAATTTATTATATTATAGAAATTCTATCTAAATCCTAAAAAGACATTGTAGAAAATAGCAGTCAAGTGATTCATTCATTGAAAAATATTAGATAGTGATGCGTTTTATTTAATAATTTTCGTGTCTAGTTTTTAGTATGGTAGTTTTGCGTAAAAATCTTTTTTAGTTAGAAAGTTTCGACAGCAGCAGGATTTGAACCTGCGCGGGCAGAGCCCATCAGATTTCGAGTCTGACGCCTTAACCACTCGGCCATGCTGTCCATGATTAATGTAAACTTGGTAAAGTTTTATTATTTCAATTTTGCATGGATCATTCGAAATTGTGTTTATCAACCGAATATGTTATGATTTGCGATCCATTGCTCCGGGGTTTATGCAATAAATGTTAATTACTACCTTCTTTAGATGAATTACACAAAAGTTCATCAAACTTCGTTTCAAACTAATTAACTTACACTCCTTACATCTTTTCACTCCAACCTGTATTGCACATTTCGTATCTGGAAATATAAAAATGTCTATTATTTCTCAACCTAACACTTTGCAAATTCTAGCGCTTTCACCAGAAGAATACAGGAAAAGAAAAGTTGCATTAATAACAGGTAATTTTGGTCAAAAAAATGTTATTCAAGAGGTTTATTTGTACACGTTAGTATTTGTATGATAAAAAAGCGAAATTAAATATTGATCATTAATCGTATTATAGGTATAACTGGACAGGATGGTTCATATCTCACAGAATTTCTTCTAGACAAGGGATATTCTGTTCACGGAATTATTCGCAGATCCTCTTCGTTCAATACTGGAAGAATTGAACATTTATATAAAGATCAGCATGAACGTAAGAGCGAGATCTGATTGGTTTTTGTATTGATAATTCTTGATCGACGATGATGGCATACTTTATCAATTACAGGGCCTAAAATGCTGCTTCATTATGGTGATTTAACGGATTCCACGAATTTGGTGCACATTATTTCCCAAGTTTTGCCAACTGAAATTTATAACTTGGGAGCCCAATCCCACGTGAAGGTTTCCTTCGATATGGCTGAATATACCGTAAGATTTTGCCGATCATTTTTAACACGCGCATATAGTTCATATAGTTGATTTTAACGAGTTCTTGAATTTACCAAATTCAAATTTATAAAAGGGTGATGTGGACGGTTTAGGTACCTTACGTTTAATGGATGCTATTCGTACTTGTGGACTCACTAAACACATCAGATTCTATCAAGTAAGATACATATTATCATCTCGTGTGAATTTCATACTTGTTTTGACGTGTAATATCTAATCAGAAAATTTAAATTTATTGAAGGCTTCTACTTCAGAACTTTATGGTAAAGTAGTAGAAACACCTCAATCGGAGACGACTCCTTTCTATCCACGATCACCTTACGGTGTCGCGAAGCTTTATGCTTATTGGATTGTTGTAAATTATCGTGAAGCGTATAACATGTATGCTTGTAATGGTGTTCTCTTCAATCACGAATCTCCCAGACGTGGTCGTACATTTGTGACGCGTAAAATTTCACGCGCTGTAGCTGAAATCCACCTTAACAAACAAGAATGCCTTTGGCTTGGTAATATAGATTCTAAACGTGATTGGGGTCATGCTAGAGATTATATAGGTAAATTAATATTTAATCAATCATTTTATGCTTTTAATTATTAAAACTAAAGCCCATCAACTAATGACCTATCTCAGAGGGAATGTGGTTGATGCTTCAACAAGACACGCCAGAAGATTACGTTTTAGCCACCGGAGAAACTCATTCTGTGCGCGAATTCATCGAAAAGGCTTTTGCCGTAGTAAATATCACTATTAAATGGGAAGGTGAAGGTGAAGAAACTACTGGTCGCGACGTAGCAACGGGTAACATTCGTGTTCGTGTTGATCCAAAATATTTTCGCCCTACTGAAGTGGATTTGTTGCTCGGCGATCCTACTAAAGCGCAAAAAGTTTTGGGATGGAAGCGAAAGGTTGATTTTGATTCGTTAGTAAGAGAAATGGTGTTGGCGGATATTGAGGGTGCAAAATTGAATCACGAGAATTAGAACAAAAAATTATTTATTTATCGTTTTTTTGGAATTTATTTAACAAAAGTATTAAATGCTATATTTTCTTAAAAAATTAAACTTAAAATAACTAATTATCGGGGTATTTTTTAGACATTGCCATCTTATCATGTTCTCTGATTCTAGATCTAGAATATAATTACTCAATGTAATATATATTGGACAAGAAAGCATTATAATTTTGAATATATACGACGATGCGTGTAAAAATTTCGCTTTTCAATGGTTTCAATTAAAATGCGTTACATCATCACGTGAGATAAGTGGACCTAATTACGTAGTAATAATCAGGAAAAGTTTTTTACTGAAGATATGAAGATAGCTAAGAAAAACAATATTGAAATTAAACAGTTTCGGCATACTTTATTATTTCATAATATTTGGTATTTTTTTTTGTATTTGTTTATTTGATTACGAAATCAACTTGATTTTTTTATTTATACTATGTTGTTATTCTATTATTATCTTAGGTATGACGTCGAAAAGTGAACCTTTAAGAGCTACTTTTCACACAGTGTCAAATCCCACGTCCCATGTCTCATGAAAAAAACTATCATCACAAACAATCACTAACGCTATTGTCTCGTAAAAACGCCATACACACAACCTGCAACGGCAAATCCGTGGCCACGTCTGTATGTTTAGTTTTCAATTGGATTTTTTTTTGATTTTGAAGAATATCGATCGCCATCACGAAGAATTGGAACAAACAAAGCTCCGGATCCGGTAGGGATCGAACATCTGGCCATATGTCAAAAAATCTGGGCACAACTTTTGAATCGGTTTTGATATATTATTCATATGTAAATTTGATCCAAAACTGTTAGGCAGTGGAACAATAAATAATAGTAAAGTTTATGCGGTTTCACTCTTCTCGTTAAGTTAATACATCTTGTATATTAAATAATATAACGCTACGCTAATTCAAAATGAAAGCTCCATGAATTACTATAAAAAGAACAAAGCAAAAAATAAAATTATTATTATCATTTACATACCTGCAAACAAATGATTATACATTATGCATGATCTCTGTCTAGTCCCCCAGATTCTTTAGGCACAGTTACAGCATCCAAAATCCTGATCACCCCAACACTTTTCACGAGTTCTAATTCCTCTTCGCTTTTCACCAGCATCATCCCACCGAATCCCAAAGAATTTACCGACACTTGTCTGAATTTCTCACATGTTCTTGGCACTATAATCATCCATGAAGTGGTCATCAAAAAATTGTAAGAGATAGGAAAAACTAAGTTTGCAGAGGCATTATTATCGCTGCGAGTTCGTAGACTTTCAATCATTGCGTCATATAAGGAATGGTATGTTTCTGAAAGGTATTCTCCTATCGTTTCTTCTGATGATCCAATTATTTTTTCTTGATTAAGAATTATCACGTGATGTATATAGGAAAATTGCGGAAAGTCAAAGATCTCGTCTATATAATTTCAAAGTTCGTGGATTGTTATTTACAATAGGATTTGAACAATAGATTGCACTTCATACCAGACTTTCTGTCTACGTCATTAAAATATGCATCAATTGGCGGATCATTCGGTAATGGAAGAATCTGGATATGTTTATGTGGTTGGCTTTTCCCAATTGAATCATGGGAAAAAATAATTAATAATATTCTTTTTCCAAATCTATCTACTAAACCTTTTTTGGATGTGCTTTTTACCTTGCACCTGAATTATTGCCACAATTGTAAAACGCGAGTGGCTTTCGACTTTCAAATTGTACCAAATAATGCCAAACAGCAGCAAGATCGCGCGGGAACAGCGGATCAGTTTGTTTCTCAAATTCTAGAATTTAAAAATCAACTATAATGTAAATATACAAAATATACATCGTTAACTTTTAAAGCTACTTACCTTTGGTGACCACTAGAATATGGTGAGGTACAATGACAAATTTGTTCATAAGAACAATGTAGCTATTACCATATTCTTCCACTAATAAGGCAGGATTATAGAATGTGAAGGGGTCAACTTTTGACCTCACGTTGGAATTCTCGGCCGTGACAAGATTTCCGAGGGGCTTCTTGTACAAACTTGGGGCGAATCTTACTTCAAACTACTTAATGATTTTCAAATTATCTTCTATGCGATAAATGATTTCGAACTGAGAGCAACTAAAATATAGAAACCCGTCCGGTTACCTCTACGTCGTTTTCCTTTATTTTTACTACAGTGCTTTCAAGAAATAAAAGCTCACCAAGATTCAACGCGCGATCGTATCCTTCAGCAAGTCGGCTTTCAAAAGGGGTTTGCATGGTGTTTCGGTGCGTAAATAACTAAGATGTGGTTATTTTAAAGAATATATTCTCTAAATATATCGTCTTTTATATGCTAATTAAATTTCGCTCCTTTGTTTTATGCGCGAAAAATTTTCCAGGTCAGTGAAATATCAAAGATAAGATCTTTGTATTACATCAGTAACCACTTTATACAAAATCCGATTTTCCATTTGAACAAATTTCTTATACTCTAAACCCTTGAGAAATACCAAAAATGAAACACAGTAAACGCTACCGTCGTCTTGGGCGAACATCTGCCCATCGTATGTCCATGTTTCGTAACATGGTTACCTCCTTGATAAGATATGATAGAATAGAGACGACGTTGCCTAAAGCCAAGGAGTTGAAAAAGTTTGCCGATAAGGTGAGATGAGAATTTCTTTCCAAATTTTTGCATCATATTTTACCCTACTAATGTTAGAATTTATTAATTAGATGGTGACTTTAGGAAAGAAAGGAGACCGTAGTGCTGGTGAGCGAGCTAGGGCATTTCTTCGTGTAAGTGAAATATCACATGATTTCATCTCGAACTTTTCACCGGTTATGTTTGTATTTTTTTCCGATGACGTAATGGGACAGATTTTCCAAAGTTTGTTGATTCATTTAGTGAATGCACAATTTTTTTTCCAAATTTGTATTTGTTTGCGCACCGGAGAATTACAACGAACACTAATTTCCGAATTAACAATAATAGTTAAATTTATTTTATTGTAACGACAACTTTATTTGTTATTATGCATCATTTAATAGGAACATTATATTACGATTCCCAAACTTTTCGGTGAAATGGCAGAAAGGTATCGTAATCGTGCGGGAGGTTACACGCGTATTCATCGAATGGGAAGCCGGCAAGGCGATAACGCTCCCATGGCAGTAATTGAATATGTGGATGCACCAGGTGATCTAAAATACCAAATGCTCATTAAAACTTTGGCTCGACAAGAATTAGAACCTGAACTTCGGATCCCTACAGAAACGATTGAGAATGGTCAAGGAGGACCACATCTAAATAAAAAAATGCAAGTTAGATTGCGACAACAGAATAAATTCGATCATCAGGTAGAGAAAATGATGAAAGCTAAAGATATATCGCAAAGGGAACTCGAAGAAATGGTTAATAAAGAAACCGAGGTATTAGTTAATCAAAAGCAAGAAGCCAAAGAATTCAAGCTTAAAAATAAGTTAAGAAAGAAAAAGGGTCATTTGTCTTACGATGCCCTAGAACTCCATAAGATCCAGTTTCCCAAAAAAGAATGACGCGCGTAATTTAACAATTCCATTGTTCAAAAGAATGAACAATGAATTTTTGTCAATCGATTAGAGTCTAAATATAGAAAGAGTTCAAGTTCATCATCGTCGGGCAAATAATAACGATAATGATACAATAAAGTTTATTGTCAATTATTAAGTATTCATATTTATTTAAATGCGCCTTTATAAATGTTTTATTCTCTAATTTTAGATAAAAGCATTGACAATTACAAGATTAGAGAGTCAAAGACAGCGGATTTGATCAATATTTGTTTATTTATCATAATTAGATTCAGAAACTGTTTCTCGTTCCCAAATCTCGAAACATGAATCCACAAAGTGGATTCAATTACATTATTTATTTATTTTCTAAGGATTCGCACGTCTTTTCTTGTTTAATAAACTGACATGATTTGCTTTCTTCTCTTTATTGTTAGTGCTGCACTGGAATTTATTATTGTCTTCCTTCTACAGCAGCTTACAAGAAGGATATCTGTAAATAAGCTTGTTTTTCGTATGTAATTTATAAGATATTCGATCAAGAAAATTTGGTACCCGATTCATAGATTCATACTTCCTTTGTCAAATTTTTGTCTTCCTAAACAATGAATTATTGACAAGCATATACGAATAAGTAAACTGCAAAATTATCATTATTATCTTAGATCAGAATTTTGTTTATATAAAAATAATTTACAGTATATTCTAATACGTATATATATATATATATATCTATATATATACGTATATAAATATTCACTTTAGTGTATGTGTGTGTTGTATTGAAATTTGATTTTTTTTCACAGTATCGGTATATCTATCATCACTTTCATCCAAAGACCTTTCCACTTTCAAAATAAATATATTTTATGATATTTTTAATATTTCTGCGTGCGCCTCACTAAGTGTAGTCTATCTGTTATAGGAAAATTCTATCTTTTCCATTTTTCTGTCTTTTCCCACTACGAAAAAACTTTTTCTCGCCTATCCTCTATCCTACCTACTCACCACCTCGAACACCACCAAAACTTACATACATGTCCTTTTTACCAGAAGATAATGTCTCGTTTCCTGGTTGTATTCTTCGCGTGGCTGGTATGCCTCCTACACCTGAATTTGGGGTTGTGAGTTGATAACGATTACTATTCTTACTATTTATTGCCTTATTTAAAAACAATAAATTCAAAAATAGACCTAACGCTAAAGATATTCATTACATTATCATTGAATGATTTTTTATCTGAGAAAATTCATAAATATGCATAACTTTAATAATAATTTCCGGTTTGTTATCCAGATGGATTCATTTTATGCTAGACTCAATTCCTTGAAATTCGCGACTTCCCAGTTGGCCACTGGAACATGCCGTCAGCTAGCGAGAGAGTATGGTTTCACTGTAAAGCAAGAAACAAGCGCCAATAAGGCAAGTATGCATATATACCCAAATTCACGATTCAAATTTCTAGACTTTTGAATACATAAATATATAAATGCATAATAAATAAATTCTGGAATAAAATGAATATTACACAACAATGCTCTAAATTACTGGTCTCTTTGACTTTTTATATCAGAATGTGTATTTGTATTGCTCACGTGAAGGACTATCGGACTCGAAAAAGACTGGCAAGCAAACTAAAAGAAAACGATCCTCTCTTCGATGTGATTGTAAATGGCGAATTGTTTTGTTCCAAAATGAAGAAGATCGTCTATGGGAATTTAGGAAATCACAAAATCCACAATCTTCCGAACATAATCATGAGCTGTCACCACCTGAACATATTCCATTGCCGTGGCCGCCACGTGTCGTGGAACGTATTGCATATCATGCCAGTTTGGGGTTGGCGACGAACGAAATACGCATTGCTGTCCAACAAGAATTTCCTAATATATTGTGGGATGAAAGAAGGTTTTACAATAGATTATCGGAAGAAAGGTCAGTTTTTTTTTCAGTTTGATTTCATATGAACGGAAAATTGTACATCAAATTTTTATTGTCGTGGATCCAATAATCATTATTCCTTTAAAAATATACGATCGGCAAATATAAAAAATTTCAGCATGAATTTTACACAAAATGGGGTTTTGCTGCATCATCCTTGATTTATTTACTGATCGAGCATTGCATCGCAGTCGTGTGCTTAACTTGGTATTACTTGTTTTGGATACACGTGTGCGCTTATTCTAATTTTTTATATGTATCATAATTTGCGAAATAGACGCAAGATTAAAGCTAGGGAAACGGAAACTCGAGTGATCGAAACGATGGCGATGGCTGCTCGTGTCGCTGCTCTTGTCTGTTCAAGCAAAGAATACACGGAAAAAGTTCACCAAGCACTCAATACAGTGATTCGTGAGATCTGCCAAATTATAAAAATAGATCCTGATGCCGTCACGAATCCTTCTAATAACAATCACAATCACAGTAATAACAACCATAATAAAAATAACCAATCGAGATCTCAAATGCAAGCTTCAACTGAATCTACGCCATCACCATTGTGCGATCCTATTTTATATCCTCCAATGTCTTTTCCGTCTACCTCTTCAAACCTTGATCTTTTATGTAGCTACCCTGCAGGCACCATTTTAGTTAAAAACATACCAAGTCAGAAAGGACGGCCAAGTAAAAAGAATCAACAACAGTCACAAAAATTAAATGATGATTCATCGCTCAAGTTCGACAATATGAGAAATGCTGAAGTCAATAACGCCGAACATTTTGGAAGAATAGAGCGTGAAAGATATGAAAATGTTGCTCCATCGTTTGAAAATCCCGTCAAAGATAAAGAGTCTCTTCTTATTGATATTGGAGAATCTCGAGTTCTTGAAAATAATGTGTTGGCTTTTCATGAACAGGCTTCATCTTTCGAAAATGATAGTAGCTCGCAAAGTACTGTCAGTCTTCCTAGTCCCATAATGGTGGAGAATGCTGTCGAATATGAAAATCAAAATGAGAACCACGCATCAAGATACCAGAATATGACGACGACAGATCCTTCCATTCCGGTTAAATATGAATATCAAATTAATGATGAAAGGAATACTATCAATAATTTCTCGTCTTCGGAAAGAATTCCATCGTCCAATGATGTTAATTGTATAAGTACAAATTATCATTCGGGACTTAACGTACTTGCAGGCGCGACTTCATTATTGCCGCCTAATTTTGAACAACAAGAAATGATGTCTTCCGCCGCATCTAATGGGAATTCATCTTTATATTGCCAAATACCAACTAATAGAATGATGAATCATCAAACTTCAGTAATGATGAACACGAATCATCGTTTTAACAATAGTTTATCATTAGGCCAGCATATTCCTCCTTGGACCAATTATAAAGACTCAGTAATTGGCGGCAACGTAGCCATAGATTCAGCTCAAAAAAATAACAGAAATACGATGGCTATGGATTTACTATCGAATGGAAGCCATTTACTAACTGACAGCACCATTTCCGGACATATAGATCATAACAAGACTCGTCTTAATCAAAAAAGTCCTATTTTGGCCTCAATTGAAACCGCAAAATCGAATTGTGCTTCAAAATTTCGGGATGCAAATGACAACAGAATTGGATATTTGGAAGGCACTTCACCTGTCGAACTAAGTTCTTTTGATGACAATGATACATCTTCAATACCTATGGTCAAAGGATCTTTGTCACCCGATAATAATCCTTCGATATCTGACCAGAAATTAGCATGTAACACTTGTTCTTCCAGCGTTAATAGCAATTCTTCGATTGATGAGGGTTTTTTGTCAAGTGAAGTAGAATCAATAAATTGCGATAATTCATTGCATGATCAACAACAAAGCGAAAATGCTAATATTGGCAACACATCCACTTTTGGAGCGAGTCAAATACAAAATGGTAATCAATCACAACTTTCAGAAACACATTGTTGGAATGGACCAACATCTATAGGCGGGATTCCAAGCCCACCTTCTTTGAGTGACATGCCACCATTAGCCGGTATGCAGACATTAGGCGGTAATTCAGTTACTATAAAACCAGCAGGTTTTTGTTTGGAGTAATTATTTAGTATTGAAATATAAAAATTATGGCATATTTTTCATTCTTTTAACTTGCTTAATAGATCCATGCCATTGGAATTTTGCCTATAATGCAATGCCACCGCGAATGATTACACACCAACCTTCACAATCAGCGCCGCAAATTGGTCTACCTGTAAGCGCGCAGGTTCCGTCGAATCCTCAATATCACAGCTATACACATTTACACACTCAAAATACTTGGTATCAAAGCAACGCGAACCATTAAGGGTGTGTAATTTTTCCAATTTCAGAATTTTAACTGTCATCCATAAGCCGAATACGTTTAAATACAGTTTTCCAGAATTATTCTTACATTTAATTATTATTAACTTTATTTTTCGTTTTAAAAAAGTAGTCAATTATATCAACATTCGTCATATTATTTTTCTTTGTTTTCGCTCGAGGGTTTTATTTCATCGAAGTTATAGCTTTTTCTTTTTATATTACGTTTTTTTTTTATGTCTTTTAAAGGAATTTATCATATATTATTCTAATTATACAAAATTAATATGCATAGAAAACCATTACACGCTATAATTGACCAGTTGTTATTATAAAAAATTTCTAATATTTATTAATTACCCTTATTAAGCTATTATTATATCATTCTTAAGAAAATCCCCGCCACGCACACTTTTTCGTTTTGTAAATATTTTGCTACACACCATTCGCCCGTTAGTTTCCTTCCACGAGAAATCAGAAAAATGAAATACATAATTTGTTTACCGTAAAGCACTGACTCTAGTATCAGAAATTTGCATTGTATTACAACCTGAGATCACTGGCCTTATAAGTCCAGTGTCCAGTTAAATATGGTGCAACAGGTCTAAAGCCATCAAATACTTTAGCTCAGTGCATGTTACATCACATGCTTTATTTTTGATTTGTTGAATTTCTTCATGTAAAAATTTATTATTATTTTTCCTTATATGTAAATGATCACCATTGAAATTTTTGGCGTTAAATCAAAGAATTTCAGAAACTAACCAATTGATAATACTTTATAACGTTAAGCGAAGCTTATTTTTGAATAATCCGAGGCCTTCGGTTTATCGAACTTTTAATTGTATACGTATTTCGTGAGCTCCCGATCATAGTACCCTCCTTAGTTTTTGGTGTGCATTTTTTGTATAAGGCCCGGGCAGTGTTGTACATGAAACATCTTGGACAAAGTTAAGATAAATTTGAGACACAAAAATACAAATAGCACAAAATTTTATTATGAAAATCTATTTTGAGTGAATAATTAAAAATGCTTAGAAACTCATTTTAATAAAAGTTTTTAAGTTGAGACATCCTTGGACGGGACGAAAACAAATTATGAATTCGAAAATGTAAAGTATCCTCCCCAAATTAAAATAATATATGATTTAAGTAATCTATACTCGACAATCATGTAAAATGTTTCAATTTTCTGTATGACGATCATTTATCACGTGCTTTATAATTGACCAATAGCATTGTAATATGATAATATGATAATTTGATACAGTAATGGTAAAGTCACACTTGTAATTGTCTACCTATATTATTATTTTCATTACATTCTTATTATTATTATTATATTATCTTGTTAGTTTGATTCAAAACAAAAGAAAGATTTAAGAAAATATGATGATGATGACTAGAATAATAATCTTGTCTGCTAATATGAAATATATAATGCATAATATTTAACATTTAAATTTCATAAATTAAATAAATATCTTAACTAAGAAGTAAATTCAAAATTTAATTTGTAAATATGTTTAAAAAAAAGCATATTCTGTCATATTTACAAATTAAATTTTGAATTTACTTCTTAGTTAAGAAGTTTATAAAATAAATATTTATCATATAGCCAAAATATTACAAATTAATTATTGTTTTCGAAATGGAGTAAAGAATTAAAAAAAGCCAATTATTATTTAAAAAGATTGTTATTAATATGTATTTATTATCAAAAAGCACAGTAATATTCTTTTTACTATTTTTATTTTATTTTTATATTTTATAATTTTTTTCTATTATTATCCAATAGCAATAATCAATATTTTTATCCAATTATTTTTTATTTTTATCATATCATTTTTATTTAAATTCCATTATCATTTATTTAATTAATTAATTCATAGTAATTTCACATTAATTTATCTTTTAAATCTTATTGGTACTTTATTTTAATCTTTTGTTACATTAATTTAATTAGTGACACATAGATTTTACACAAACCTCTTTTTAATATTATATAATAGTTATCATGTTCCAACATGTTGTAGATTTATATTTTTATTGATTTCACTTTGTAATCTATATATATATAAATAACATTTAGATCAGCATAACTCAAATTTACTATATGTAACATGAGAATTGACTTGAAATAAACTAAGAAGATTATATTCTGATTTTAACTTTTGTCTTATCTTGTTCCTTTTTGTTTCTTTTATTCACTTTTGTTTGTCTTATTTGTTTTATTTTCTTATTTTTCTATTATTTTTTCTTATTTTCTCTTTGTTTATCTTTGTTTTTGTCTTAGTTTATTCTTAATTATTATCATATTGTCTTTGTCTTTTGTAACTTTAATTTATATTATATATTTAGATTTAGCATTACTTTATTATTACTTAAACACATTCAATATTCATTTTATATTTATATTTTTATTAATTTATCATTATTAATCATTCACTATTATTAGTTATATTATTCTTATTTAAAATCTGTTATGAACATAGTCATTGTTAGCTATTTCTAAATATTCTCATATATAAGAACTAGAAATGATAGCAGATTTTTGGTGTCCCCTCTGTGAATGACTTTTTAAAAAGAAATTCAAATATCACATTCAAATTGGATAAACACAATATTTACATCAAAGTTAATTATCAATTCAATCTTCTTAAAAGCATTGTTACGATCCAGAATTATCCCTAATTTCTTAATTTCTTAATTTTAGTCATGTGATAAAACATAGATTGTAGAGATAACAGAGATAGCAGAATTCTCAGACATATTAACATTATTTACTATATCATATTTATCTAACATGTATAATATATCTTATATTGTAATAACTTA